AATATTATTATATTATATATTTTATTATTATTTTTAATACTATTATTTTTAATACTTTTAATACTATTACTGACAAACAAAAATTATGGAAGTAGCCCACAAATGATTTTGATCGACTGTTTTAGATCAAGTGAGATCGCGTTTCGCGCTAAAGAAATGCATCGTTCTTTTTCTCGATACCCTTCAATCATGATGTAAAGGTACGTTTCCTCTATTAGTACAAAAGAAAAAAGAAGGAGAATGAGAGAGCGGCGAATGATGAGGTAGAGCGCGTTACGTATGTCAATCGTCTTAGAAAGTTCATTGGTGATAGTATCGACGACAGAAAGTGGACGATGATTTATAAAATAATAATGACGCTACAAATCTTGTTTATTTGGGACATGGAAAAATTAAATAGTGTTCTACTTTTGAAGATCTTCAGATTGTATCGATTATTCTCTACGTACAATGAATGCTTGATTTAGTCAAGTGATAATTATAATTTTATCTTTCGCCTTTTCTTGAGATCAGAAGTTTCTTCTACAAATATTCTGAGAAATACGTCAAAAAGAACATGATATGGAAAAAAATATTGCCGAGTGTTATTCTAAAGCTTTTTTAACGTAAAATTCGTAAGCAAATACCTAAATTGCTGATTGCGCTTCGGTATATACTTAGTTTAGACTCTAGTCTAGAGAGACGAACATTATTAAATGAACAAAAAGTATCAGTGAACACTCTTGACGCTATTAAATGTTTATTCTTTACTGAATATCGATGCGCTATATTGATTTTGCTCGATCATTAAATCCGAAGTCCAAGGTTATTCCGCGAGAATTTTTTCTCCCGTGTCATTAGCAAAGTTCATCAAAATTGCAAATAATTCCATTTTCCGAGAACAGCGTGACGTATTTTACACACATATTGCGATTGAAACATTACCGGAAAGCGAGGTATGTACTTTCGCGACGTCATATCTTTTAATGTAACTCAACACACAGTCTTCATTTTTACAATTCTATCTCATTTTATTACTTGACTTAATAATACATGTGTTATCTCTAACACACATGCGAAAAGCATTCCTAGGATTACTGACGTTTACCTTTTCGATTACCTATATTCGGTGTACAGATTGCCTGCTAAAGAATCAATTCATTCTACCGTTTATGTATTTTACCATATTTGAAAAAAAAACCGGTTGATGACGACAGTGACTGGTTTTGTCATTAGGATTATGAGCACATATGTTGGCTGACGTCAGTTTCGACGAGGAACAAATACTTAAAATCGAGCGAGAAAAAAAGAAAGGCGGTGGAAAATTGATCGAGTCCGCACGACTTTCGATCAAGCTGATCAAAGGTGACGATCGTGGATGGCGGCCAGGGATAAATACCGGAATAATTGTAGGAGACGATCGGGTCAATCCCACCATTATCATATAATACGCACTCGCGTCCTGGGGTCAGCGCGCAAAAACTTTGCATGGCAAATACAAGTCGTGGACGAATATTCATCAGCAATCACTGTCGGTCTTTACCTTCTTAACGGACGTTCGTGAAGTTCGGTCTCTCTGTCGGCTTCGGTAAACTCGTTCGAGAAGTGGGCTTATATTACTTACTGATTACGGACGGATATATCCAACGATCAGCGATCGATCATAGACAAGGTTCCTATCCAGAAGAATATTGCATACAGGATGTTGTACTCCAAGCGGTACGTACAGAATCATTGGATAAATCTTGTCGCGACGCGGCAACAAGATATTTCAACATTTTTTCCATTCTGATTTCTTTCTTTTTGAAAGTAAAAATACTCATCGCGAAACTTAGTGCTTGTTTTCTAACTGTATATTTTTGTTAACAATCTTCTTGTGAAGCGTTATACAATTTCTTGCTACAATAATGGCAATAAATTTGCCACGATCGATTTTATGTCAAATTATTTCTTTCGAAGAAGAAAACGCGTATTTACTGAAGTATTTAAAAACTTGACCAATCAGAAAATAATTTTAATCATAAAATAATTTTAATATGAAAATAATTTTGTCGGACTATTAAAATAATTAACTAGGGATATTCAAGTTGGTTATTAGAATGTCACAATTTCTTACGCTGCTCATCATGCTTAAGTTTTCATAATTATTTTGATAGTTCAATAAAATTATTTTCAGTTTTAGATACTTTTGCAAAATCGTTCTTTTCGCGTAAATTAGAAATCTGGAAATGTGTTAAGAGTTTATAATCTTTGTGTATCCTACGGTGAGAATTGACGGGAAGTATCACTTTTCAAGGCTCGCAATTGTGTTTAGACTGTTCGTGATTTCAGCTGTGAAATTTAGCATCTGCTTCAGGCAATGGTTCACTTTGAACACATTCTTCGTTTCCCTAAACGAGGGATCGCACAAAAAAGAAGAGGTACACTAAACGGTACCTTGAGTAGGATCTTCTCGAAAAAGTGGCACGAGTTTCTTCTTTGCGTTACTCGGACATTACTTGTGATCGAGGTTTTACATACAGATGGTTCTTGTATCGGAATAACCTAGTTATAGAGTTGAAGCGACTTTGTTGAAATGATTAACTCACAGTAACGTGATTTCCATTTTGGGAATTTTCTCTCTTTACAGAGAAATCTACAGAGAACTATTTACATATTTAAACATATTTGTACTTTATAAAAGAAATAAAAAAAAACTCGACATAAAATAATTTACAATTTCATAACGTTTTCTCAGGGATTACATTTGCCGTTCGATAAATTTGTATAAAAATTATATAGCAGAGTTAAGTAATTAATCTTTTAAATGAATACATATGAAATGATATACACTGTCTCTCAAATAAACGATTAAAACTAATTAAATTTTACTTTCTATAGTTTAGAATGCAGTATAATATATTGTTTTAAGACAGATAATAAATTAAAAAAAAGTATGTCACATTATTTATATTGTATGCTACATTATTTATTGCTTGTTGAATATTTTCAATATACACTTGTACAATTGCGATAACATACTATGTAATTTTAGAAAAGAAACTTTATCTTTGGCAATTCCATTGTTTTTCTAATTATTAGTCGTAATTTATCATTTGTCCCATAGTAGTTTTATTTACAATTAACTGATAAAACTTGTTCTTAAAATTTTTGAAGAAATTATCATATCGTAGCAACAATATGCTTATCTTAGGAAGTAATCAAATGTACGAGCTTCAAATGTGTTTCTCGTAATTGTCGATAATCTGATATTGATAGATGAGTTAGAAAGAAATTCTATAAATAAAACTAATATAAATGAGATATTAAAGTTTGAAATATTGAAAGTTGAGTATTGAGGAAAACTTCTCAAATAACTATTTCGAGCATTTGATGGAATCTGATTACAATTTTCGATTAATCAAGATTTCTATATAATGGAAGAAAATAATATATTAATTGCGAAAACTGACATTCAATATTTCTGTATCTGCAGCATCGGTAGATTATATTAGGGAGAATGTATACCGAAGTTTTCTCGATCTTTAGTATCAATGGAGCTAAAGAAAAATAAAGAAAGAAAAATATTCGATAACTAATAATTGCGATCTGATTTCTCCGTCGGCGGCAAGGGAGATAGTCGATTTTCGGATGCATGCTGGACCGGGCTGGTGCAAGTAGAACGAAGTAGACTTATAGTTGTAAGTGGAACACTTTTACATAGCGCCTATTTTTAGCGCGTCACCTGAGACACCTCGCTTAATTTCGCTGTCCTTAATCAGTCGAGGATCGATGTAACGCTAGAACGCGCTATTATTTTCTCCGATGAGCTCTTCGTCCCTTTTAAAGGGTTGCTGAAGATACGCGTGCACATATCGAGTTGTCGCGGACCTAACGCCGCTGCGTTTATAAATAAGGCACTCTACGTAACAATATATTGCATTATTAAATATCATAGAATATTCAAGAAAGAGAAAGTCGCGGTCGCCCGTCGCTTGTGCAAGAAGGCGATTTGCAATTCGAACTTGTGATGTTGAAGTAAATTGCACTTGCAATTTAATGATGATAAAATTACGTTTTAAATTTCGTCGTTTTTCCATTAAAAGCGAAGGCAGAATAGCGAATTGTCGATATTATACGTCTTTGCACAATGCGCATTTTTTACAACTCGCCCAGTCAGTGCATTTACAATTAAATTTCCATTTTGTTCATGTATTCGCTATACGAGTATCGGCGATTAACATAACAAAGTGATTTTATGAATTCGGCTGGGGAAACGATTGAATATTCATATGTGAACGAACAGTTGGAAACTTTATTGCAAATTTCAGCGATCGCTGGCTAAGGCGTAATCGCCGTAAACAAGCTCATTGTTGGCGAGATAAACTTCACTGCAATTACTCAATTAATGAAAGCCGCTTAATTAATGACAGGAATTTTTTGCTAAACTTAATTTATGAAACTTTAATTGATTATTGTTTTTCCTTTGCTTGCGAAACGAAGATGAATAATATCATTGTTGTTTACGATGTTAATAAATCCAATTGAAAGATCGCATTTTTTTATTCGAGAAAGATTCAATTTTGATATCTCTTTTCTGTACGATCTCAGAGTAAAAAAACAAAGATTTTGTGTGTATTTACTCGAATTAGAAAGATAATATTTTATATTCGTTATATTTATTCTTTTAGATAAAGTGATTTTTTTTAGAAATATATATTTTTTTAATAAATAAGTCATCTCTTTCAAACATTTTTTATTGAAATAAAATCTAGTCTAAACCAAGATATTTTTAATTGTTACATATTTTATAGCATTTAAATAATTGAGAAAATACCAATATTATAGGATTATAAAAATGTTAGATAAAAAAAAGTTCTTGTTTATCATTGGTAACAGAATTTATTGAATTGCTTGAAAAAATAAAAAAATATTTGACTTTATTACTCTTAATTACTGTTTTCTACAATAATTATAAATATTTACATAAATTCAAGCTTATTTGCCTTCATGTATTTATGTATAATAGAAATCAATGATTGAAACAGATGCATTAAAAAAGTTAAATAATTATACACGATTTATTAAATAGTTATATGAACATTTAAAATTATATCAAATTACAATAACATAATAATTTATATTAATGGTTTAATTAGTTGCAAATATCGAATCAACATTCAATTCGGAATAATGTCAATAAGATTAATTATATAATATTTGCATTATTATGCAGTGCATTTTTGGAAACTTGTAGAGGAAAGAAGAAAATTATAGAATATTATTTTGTTTTATAACTTAATAGATATTGATGTGTGATATAACTATCTTTGATACAAATTTATTAGTCAAAGAGTGTTACCAATTATATCATGTGAGATGAAAGTTCTTAATTTAAAAATTGAATGGAAAAAATGCGGTTATAGAATAGGAATGGAGGGAGAATATGGAATAATCATTAATTACTGTATAATATAATTTGATATCGGATACACACACATTTCGATACAAAATGTAGTTCAATTACATCATTAGAAAGTCACATTCAAGGTTCCAAGCTAGATTAAAGTTACAAAATGAACATTTCAAAATTATGTAAAAAATATAGGGAAACTCCGGTATATAGTATATACGCCGCATTATACCTAACAAAAATTTAATTTATGAAGTATTATTATTCACTATATTTAAAATAAATAAACTATACTAATAAAAACTTTATATTGTCTACTATTGTTAAAAAAATAGGAATTTGGAATATTTGTTTTTTACATTAAAAATTTTTTTGTTGTAGTTTTATCATATAGAAGTGGAATGTACGGCTTATGAAAAATTTACAAGTGATCATAAAATAATACAATAACTTATAAAATGTGTTCACACAAAGTTTTATTAAGGAATAAGAATGAAGGTTAGATCAGAGCGAATCGGATTATTTTTTTTCATAGATAAAAACAAAATAATAAACTAACTTCTGTTATTAAGTTTTACTATAAATTTGTAATCTCTACATCTTTGACTTCAATTTTTATATAATAAAATAATACATAA